TTCGGATGCTACGCACGTGCATAACAAGTAGTATTTTATTATTAGGTTAACTGCCAGCTCCCTTTCCCCACTGTTTGACATTCAGGCATTTACAGTTTTACACCACCATAACTTCTCTCCTTCGCATGGTATATATATAGAGTATAGTGTATACAGTACACTTAATGCGCCCCAATAAAAAAAAATTGGACTAACTTCATCTCATGATATATATGAGAAGAAAACAGAGTAAAGAACAAATTGAAAGCCAACCTGAACGCATGATGAAGAAATGAACATAAGTTTTGAACAAGTCAATGTCAGCAACTTTTTTTGAATTGATCGACGTCAACAGATGTCCAACGGGCGGGGTAATTGTACGAGCTTTGTTTGAAAATGTCAAAATTGATATTATTATGAAAAATGTAAAAAAATAATGATAATAATAAATAAAAAATAAATCCAGCCGATTACGCTGGCTAGATGAAAATAAGAACTACAACACCGAACAAATTCTTGTTCTCGTGGGTTTTTCATGGAACAGTCATTTCGTATTTTATACCACTCTTAATATGAATTTATGCCGGTAATGATCAGTTTCACATATGTACAAAATTATTATTTTTTATTGCACATTCGGAGCAATTTTTATTCCATAATCATTCTTTCTTGTTTAAATGGATTCCTGTTTTAGTTTATAGGAAGAATAACGAGAAATTCCGTTTACAAAAGGAGAAAGCAGATTTAATGATGTTGTGATGTCCCGAGTCACGGTTTCACATAATTATAAACTGGTATGCCTGCTCTGTTTCGAAATAATTGTCTAGTTTAAATTTTTATTTTTAATTATATTAAAAATGAACTTTCAAACTGGACAATAATTTTGGAATAAAAAAGGTATAACTAATGTAGTAGCAAATGGTAACACAAGAAACAACGACAATAACAATAAAAAAAATATAAAGAAAGCCGGGAGGGAGTAGGGGTGGCAGATCACGTGGTGTGGAAGCAAAGCAAAACTGCGAAAGGCTATGGATGTTGGCCAAGTGTGTGTTCCTTCTAAAAATCTAAAAACTTTCCTCCTTTTATTCAGTGTATTTAATTAGTAAATGATAAAATAATTCCTACAACCCAATTTTATTACTTATCAAAAAGCCAAATCATCAACCAATAATATGGAGGATTTAGATCTTCTGGAACACGTTGGTACATTGGTATCATCGGTGGGGTCAATATTATTTGCGTCAGGAATTCCATATATACACTGAGGTGGCAACCAAAGGGTCAATGGACGGCTCGATTATGAGTCCACGTTTGTTTTAGTTAGGTGTGAGTTTCACTAAGCAGACATCATAATCTTTTGCTGCACCTTTTCCCTGATAAAGACCAGTTTCACCGTCCTCCGTTTCCCAAATATGCTCCCTTTCCCGTTTTAGTCATCTCCATCCTCCTGAATGGAGTTCGAATAATTGAGAGACGAAAAATGACACAAATATACTGTTTATCATCAGCAAGTTTTCTTTCTGCCTGAGTATTACTGTAACTATACTGTTTTTCTTTCTATTTTAAGATCATGTTTTGTAAATTGAATATGATGTCGTATTTAAAGTAAGGTCTCAAGCTGGTAGCATTCTGAATTTATGTTGAAAACTGCTTCATTGCAATTTAGTGCTCCTCTGATCCTGCTCCCAGATTGCAACATAGATCTTCTTACATCAGTGGATTGATATTGCTGTTGGGACTACAATCCAAAAAGAATTCACAAAAACATAATATGCATAGTAGTAAATCAAATTTGTGACAAAATTATCTTTGTCTAGGTAAGGAGTTAGAAAATATGCAATGGTTCCATAGAGTTGTGCTACTGATATGGCCAGCTGAAGTACATGCTTGTATGACTTATTCATTGCTATCCGCATACTTGCAACGTACAAAAGCCACATTATGATCATTAAAGAGGGGAGATAAATGCGAAAATCAATAAAACCAGAAATGTGGGCTTAATCATGTTTTGTATTTCAAGTGAATCTTCTTCCTGCGATCTGTAACTGCCTTGAAAATAACAAAAAAGGACTGTTTATTGCTGAACCAGTGATTTAAGGACTGTTTTGTGAATTTTTAAATAGCATATCAGTCGTTAATTTGAAGTTTCCTTCCAGGTTTGGATTACAGGCCTTCTGCATTTTGTAACACACAGAAGAGAGAGGGAGAAGGTTTTTATCCGTACTTTAGCTGCTCGAATATCTTACTAGATTCAGTAAGTTCTTGAACCTCACAATTTTGTAGCAGTGCAAGTCCAGTGGATTCTCTTGCTTCTCATGTTTAATACAGTTGTTGGAGGTTCTTGATAGGAAACATAAGTATGTATGATGTTATGATACAAGTCCAGATGTTATGTATGATGTCCAAATCTCTCTTAGCTTCTGCATTTAAGATACCTTAGCTGACAGAGAAACTATAAGTTCAGGCATGGATTAAACACTGAAGCTCGAGCTTTGGACATCATACATCTCTTTTATGTTTTAGGGATTACCAGCTTTTATGTTTTAGGGTCACATCTCTTAAATGCATGTAGTCAAGAAGCATGTATCTGTAAATGTCATGTTGAAGTTGGTCAGCTTTATGCATTTTGATCTAATTGACAATTTTGAACTTTGTTGTGGTTCCTACTTTTGTATGAACAATCTTGCTTGGAATATCCTGAAACTTTATGTGTTAGTTTGTAAGAGAAATCTGACCCTGAAACTTTGATTTTTTTGGGCATAAACTGAGAATCCTTTAAGAGAGAGATATGGTCATTATTAATATGAAGTCCTTTTTCTACCATTCCTCTGTTTTTCTTGACAGTAATCTCCCTTTTCCTGTTATTTGTAGTTTCTAGATGCATTCTTGGTGAAGAACAACTGAATGTTACAGCAGAAGTAGTAGAAGATATATCACAAAACATGGATTAAACACTGAAGCTCGAGCTTTTGTGCACACAAATGTTTTCCAGGGTGTTTCGAATTGATTACTACACGATGTGTTTATTTTGGAGATTGTAATATTTGTTATAATTGGATTATGTGCCTTTTAGTGTACTTAGATGCTCAAAACAATATAATAGATAGATGAGTATAAGGAAATTTAAAATTATAGACCAAAAGAAAAAAAAATGCTGCAATAAATCTGTTTAAAAAAAATAATGTTTGCTGAATCTAAAATTAGTTTACATCGGTGTACTGACACTGACCAAAACCTAAATAACCGAACAAGTTATTCAGGTTGTTAGTCGATGACAATGTGCGTTAATTCGGTCAACCCGTTTTCCACCCGAGACCCGAATAACCGATTCTTTTGACCCAAAACCCGTTATTTTGACCCGAATGAACAGGCCTACACTAGATATACAAACCCAAACAAATAGAGAACGAGAAAGAAAGGACCTCGCCGTCATTCTGTTTCTCAATTGCAGACAAAGCGTAGTTGTAGATCTGTCCATTAACCTCAGTGTCGACAGGGATGATGGCATCCCTTGCCATTGTAAAAGAAGAGTGTACAATATTCTTTGGTTCTGATTGCATAGGGAAATCATTTATACGGGGATCATCGATGCCTTGAGAGTCCACCAAGCTGAAACGTCTGAGCAGAATAGGGATTCAATGCATGGCCCTTATAATTGATTATAAATAAACTATTAAAAGTTTTACTATAAAACGATGGCACATTGGACAAGTCATTGTTATAGATAAAAATTAACTAACATCACACATATGCGACATAATCATCATGTTTACAATGCTCATGTTTGAACGTTGAATATTGAAATCAAGCAAAATAAAGCATTTTGCTCGAATTTTTCAAAAAATGACACAAATATGCTCCCAAATTGGTAGTGTAAGCAGGACTATGGCTAGGTTTTCGGAGGTAGAAAGAAATATGTTTCTCGCATTTGGCAAATGCGAAAAAAAACCAACTTCCGCGTTCAGCAAATGCGAAAATGTAGTGGATTAATTACAATGCATTAAAGATGTTGGATTAAAACTGGATAATTATAATTAATTTAATCCTTCGCATTTGGGGTATGCGAAAATCAACTTTTCGCACATGGCATATGCGAATGTATTAAATCTGTATTTAAAAATTGTTTCCTAACTTTAAATTGGTATAAAATAAAATGTTGTAAATTAAATATTTTGGTTGATAAAATGTTGTAATATTTCAACAAAAAAATACTATTTTAATTGAAAATTAAATTTTCTAAATTTAAAGTATTCATTTGATTTAAGTAAATTTATGTTAGTTCTAAATAGAATTGCAATCCTCAAAATTATATTTGATGAACAGAAATTGTATAATGCATTTATAATAAAATTTGAATAAGAAATAAATTAAAATTTCGGTGAAAAATTAGAATATAATCTTGCGTTCTGTAACCAAGTTTGCTTTTAAAAAAATTTACTTTTATTTGATTTTAATTTAAAAACTTACCATCATTAAAAATATAATGTCAAAAAATCAAGTTTATTAATTTTAGGATAATAATATTTTTTACATAATAAAACTTAGAATCAATTCATTTAAAGTAAGGAAAAAAAACTAAAACTTTTAGAATCTGACATAATCAGTCCTGCTAAACTTGATAAAACCATACTTCCTTCTAACAATGATCTTTTGGCGACCTGGAAACTTGAATTTGGCACGACGAAAAAGATAGTATTGTATAAAAGTAAGAGTTAAAAAAATTGTACATAATATTGTCTTTTTGAGAAATTTTCTTCTTTAATGTTTGCCTTTTAAATTTTTTTTTTATCTTAAAGATTAAATAAAACCGAAATAAATTGTTAATGAAAATAAATGAAAGGTATTGCTTAAAACTAATAACAAAAGTCATAAAATAGCATAAAATAAAAGTACAATTCAATCTAATAGTTCTACATCTTGCGCTTTTTCTCCTGAGAATCTATCATGCAGCACTTTTTCTTCTTTTTATGTTCCACTGTCCCTTACCCAAAGCAATCGGTGTAAAAGGCATGGTACCATCACTGGGCCCCGTCCCGATCGCGCCTCATAATGATCATGAGAGGAATGCTCAAGATCATCGCATCATCATCATGCTCCCGATCCCCAATATCCTCATGATCTTTATCATCTTCCCGATCATGATGGATATCGTCACCACCTAGATGCTGACTATGATGACCACCCTCGTAACTAGTCTCAAAGAAACCCCCAGCATTAGGATCTAGATTAATAAAATCTGAATCAAAATGCATTTGCTCAAAAGGAGGAGAGGGATGGTGGTTTGGAGATGCTGGACGGTAAGGAGACACATGGGGGGTAGAAGATTGCCCGCCGGTATTCTGGGTGGCCACAGGTTTTCTCATTCTCACACTCCCTAACTGGAAGCCGCCTCGGTCAGTCCTGGGAGGCCTAGGTGGGATATACTCCTGGGTTGGGTCAGCTGGAGCAAAATCTTGGCTTGGGTTCTCACTATCAGCCCAAACAGATGTCTTCACGACATCATTGCTCTTGTGTCAAATCGTGCAACAGTAGGAAGGCATTGTGATTCCAAGAATCACTGGATTACGTTGTAGCCCATCTAGAGTAATATGCCGCATGTTTTGCACTAAATTGGCCTGAAAATTATAAAGGAAATAAATATATATGGTAAATTAAAAATATATAATAAATATATTTTATAAATGAACATATATATGGTAAATTAAAAATAGGAAATAACATTTTAGAAAGTTATATGTATAAAAATCATATTAATATGGGTGTGATTAAAGAAATAGTAGAACTGTAACTTACCATTATATGTAGTGACTCGGTAGATCCCCGAAAACCACAGGGCCGACGATAGTCTGATGGATTGTTGACCAAAGTGACAGTGTGATTTTGATACCACACTAGATATTCCAGTGCTGCCTGGGGTTCAAGAGTCATATCCGTCTGAAGACCTGCAAGGGTGTTGTGTCGATTCTCCCACCTCTGTATGACGTCATCTCGACATTTCTTACCACGCGTCTCCTTATGCAACTTTTCTATTTCTTTTTTCTCCATGATGAAAGTGTTGTCAGGCACCCGCTGCAAGAAGCTGAACTGGCGCAACACCCTGCCTGGGATGTGTGGCTCTCGGATATCAAAATAAAGCAGCCAAGTCTGGGACATCCATATGGCGGAGCCGGCAGAGCAAGATGGATCAATGTCTGCTAGAATAGCAGGAGAATACGGCATCCAAACAAACTGCAGAGGGACAGATAATACAAAAAATTTATGTGAATATATAAGAAAAAAAATAAATTGATTTATACGTTATGATGGTTCAAATAAAAGATACTTACATTATGTTCTTGCAAAACCGCAAGCTGGTCTCGATAGGCGGTTAGATTAAATCGTGTGATGTCTCCCACTTTTCTAGGACGGTTCCACCTACAAAAAAATATAGTTTTGATTGAAAAAACAGAAAAAAATATTAAAAAGTATAACTAATTAAGATAATTATTGAATAGTTAAAAATTAATTACCTCCTGCCCAAGGGACACCCCTGAAGATCTGGTACGGGCCCACGTAACTCCGGACGGAAAGTCAATATCCGCTCGCAAGCCCATAACTATTTTGCAATAAAATAATGCGTGAAATTAAAAATACAAATACAATAATTAAAAAACTAAAAATAAAATACAATTATAAATATTAGGATTCTAACAAAAAATTACAAATAAGGAAAATAAAAATAAATCGAAAAAAATTAAAATAAAATGAATAAAAAACTAACAATCAAATACAAATACAAGGGCGGTTTGAAATTACCTGTAAGAGTAGTAGCGGCTACAAATACCTGTCAGCACAATGTGATCACCGAGGAAGTGCATAGATTTCGGTACAACCACGCCAGTGTAGCACTACCCCAACTAAACTCCCGAAATGTATTTGGGTCCTCCAAATACCCCACCAGCCCAGGGAAAACTATTTCTCCGCTTCAGAAACAATAACCCTCCTAAAATCCATCCGACAAAACAACGTGCCCGCCGAAGGTACATATCCTCTCGTAGCATCTCCGGTAGCGATTAGTCATAATGTGTCTTTTTATATCTGTGATGTTTACTACCTTATCCTTCGTGGCCTTAGGACGCTGTCGGAATCCAAACAGACTCTCTAAATAATCGGCCCACTCCACATCCTGCGGAGGTACTGTCCCCTGAACCACTGCATGGCCATCAACCCGTAGACCCAGAAGGACCTCGACATCCTGTAGAGTAATCGTCGCCTCTCCGACAGGCAAGTGAAATGAATGGGTCTCAGGCCGCCATCGCTCAACTAAGGCTGTAATGAGGGCCCAATCTAACTTAATAGAACCAATTCGAAAAAGAGGCCCTAGACCAAACTTTGCTATTTGGGCATGTATCTGTGGGGCAGCCTTGTCTAGTTCAGGCCATAGGTCAATATCCACTCGGTATGCGGAAAGTTCTTTCAAATAAGCCGTATTACCCCTAAATGTATGGAATGACCTATGATCATCATTAAAGACCAATAAACTCTTATCTATAGGACCCTGCTGGAGGTCATATTGTCTAGACTGCGAAGACGATGATGATCCCGTCTCCATACCCTAAACAAAAATAATACAAACAAATACAAATACACTAAATATATATAATACAAAATAATACAAACAAATACAAATACACTAGACAAATATAACACAAACAAATACAAATACACTAAATAAATATAATACAAAATAATACAAACTAATACAAATACCCTAAATAAATATAATATAAACTAATACAAATACCCTAAACTTTCGCATTCCCCTTATGCGAATAATCGACTATACGGGAGTCCAGGAGATGACGCCACATGGTGCGACCTGGACAGCTTCATATTGTTCGCATTTCCTTTATGCGAAATATTCATAGTCCCGGGAACAGTCTAGAAACTACAACGTTTACTAATGTTCTTTGACGGTAGTCTTGTACTCTTGGACAGTACATAAATACAAACATAGACTTGCATATTGTTCGAATTATTACACAAACCGATACCCAAATACAAATTCAGAATTCTTAGACTGATTACACAAATACAAACTCAGAATTAATCAAACCATTACACAAACACTACCAGAACCACTATTTAAAGATTATTCAGATTATTACGCAAAAACAAACTTTGAATTCCTACTCAGAATTCTACAGATTGATCATCAGAATCATCAGTCTGCATATGGGGTACACCATGCATTCCATATCGATCGTAAGAATGATTCAAAGGAGTCCTGTCTGAAGATGGATGTGAGAAAGCGCAGTTAAAGGTATCATGATCAAATCCTCCACATCGCGCGCAAACTTTCTCAACTACGCATGCACTGGCATTATGGCCTTCTTGATGACATCGACCACAAACTTGAACTCTCTTGTTACCAGATTTTTTCGTATAATCCATAAGTCATTTCTTTCGATTCACACCCTTCCGACCTGGGCCAGCATGGTGTACGAGTAACGTATCATCAGGCCTCAGATGCCACGTCGCTTGTGGCCATGGTTGAAGGACTGGGTTGAATTCTCCAGAAAACTGAATAGCCCATTGTTCCCTACTATAAAATGAATCAAAAAGCGATAATGGATCATGACATAGATACCTGGCAACAGCAAGCGCATTGGAGCAAAGAAACCTGTATGTCTACCACTTGTTACATGTGCACATCCTGGCGGCGTAGTTTACCTCATGGATATTTCCACCCTTCCATGGCCGATCAGGTGGTGAGTACGTGACCACTTGGTACTTCTGATTCCTCTTGCTAAATCTGGTAACCTCGTGACCCATCTGATGTATACGGTAATCCTCATACCGTTTCATGGGATTCGTCGCGAGGGGTGAATGGCATTTGTCAATTTCATCTATGTTTTCCTGAAACAACTTGTTAGTCTTATACAATGTGGCAAGAATCAAAGCAGTGATAGGGAGCATCCGGCAACCTTTTAAGACATTATTAAAACTCTCGGATATGTTCGAAGTCATTTCTCCCCAACGATATCCCCCGTCCCAATAACGGGTACACTTCTCAAGACCGATTTGCTGAAGATATATGGCTGCATCTCTATTTTTACTTTCTAAATTCATCCATTCTTTTTCAAACTTCCCTTTTTGCAACATTGAACAAGCCCTTTGACAAGGTCTTTTGAGTTTCTGCCCAGGAAAATTGCCAGCTAAATTTGCTTTGATGTGCTGCAGACAATAACGGTGCACTCCCATCCCTGGAAATTTATCAAGCATAACATCCATAGCAGCAAGAAAACCTGTATGGCGATCAGAGATAATGCAGGTCTCCTTGTCAAGTAGAACAAATTTGTTCAGGTATTTAAGGAACCATTTCCAGCTGTGCAATGTCTCTTTATCCACGAGAGCAAATGCGATGGGAACAATTGTGTTATTCGAGCACTTCACACATGCCACGATCAATGTTGCTTTGTATGAACCTCGGAGGTGGGTGGCGTCGACGGTTATGACCGGCCAAGCAGCTCTAAATAAATGTATAGCTGGCCCAAATGCCCAAAAAATGTACCTACACACCTTCTTCTTCCGATTCTTGGTATCTTTAGTGAACTTAAACTGCATACGGGTATCTGGGTTCGCTTTGAGCAATGCTTCCCGAAAACTGGGCAGTTGTTGAAAGTTGTTTTCCCATGTGCCATACAGACTCTCAAGTGCTTTTCTTCGACCATGCCATGCGTTTTTGTAATTGGGGGTGACCTTGTATCTCTTATTTACTTCGACTTGGATCTGCGCGACTGAATAACTTGGATCTTTTCGGACATTGGCTGTGATCAATCGAGCAATCATTGTGGACGTCAAGTTACGACCTTCGTTTCTTGTGGTTGCACCAAGACAGTTGTGGCTCTCGACCCATACCACCATTCTCCAAGTATTTGTGTCTTTTTGCAGGGTAGCTCGACATTTCCACAAGCAAGTAGTGCCGTGGAGAAGTTCTTCTGGGTACTTCGGCCCTTTCGTCTCGCATTCAGCGGCCCACGTATAGGGACGGCTATATTTTACCCGACATGCCTGACCCTGTCGCAATGTCCATTCCCCCACAGCTGTTTGTACCTCTTTCTTGTTAGCAAAATGTACACCATGTCTAACCGTCTGCCAATTACCGTCCCACATTGTGATCCCATCAGAATACTCATCCAGTTCAGACTTGTCCATGTCACTGATGTCGTCAAAATAGAAATTACTACTGAAGATGCGTCATGGTCACTGTAATCATCATCAGACTCATCGGACGGCACATACTCCTCGTCACTGTTCCCATGTACGTCATCTTCTGTGTCATCGTCATCTTCATTGGTACCACCAACACCACTACTCCCTGCACCATCATACTGACCACTAGTAGTTCCTTCCCCAACATCTTGAACAGGTTCATCTGCAACCTCTACGTACAATGCTGGACGCAAATGGGCACCTCGGTAAATCCATGACATTGACTCGTCGTCTCTTATGGGCGCTTGCCCCCTTCTGCCGTACTCATCTGTGCAGACTAAAACATATTGCAGAGGAAGTATTTGTTGGTTCTCAGATTCTAACAGCCTGTGTACATAATTATCAAGTTCAGAGAAACTCCATACTCGATCGATACGAACTGTTGCATCGGGCGTAAATAACTTCTCCCCATATCCCCAACATGATCAATCACTAGACCAGAATATATTCAGATCGAAGGGACCCGGAAAAGACATATTAAGGGCCTGCACATTTAATTTTTATTCAATTAAACATACAAATACATCAATTCATGCTTGTTATAACAATATTCTACCTCACTAGTAGTAATTTACTCCAAAAACTAACAATAAGTCCTATCTTTAGTGAAAAATCTCTAACATAATTTAATAATTCAAAAAATATAATTCGACATCTATATAACAAGGTTTTCAATTAAAAGAATAACAATTTTTGATCAAACTAATAAATTTAGATTTACACAATGTATTTGATAAAATATAAAATTAACAGAATAAAAACAAATAAAACAGGTCAAATCAATAACATTACAAATAATTGGGTCAGAATATAAAATTCACAAAATTGAGGTATAAAGACCAAAATTCGAGATCAACCGGGTTATTCTCTAAATTAATAAAATAACTCATAATATTCAACAAAATTCAACAATTCACATTATAAAAATAATTTTTATTCTTCATTCTACATCAAATATATATTTATTGAAGCAAATTTTCTAAAACCAATTCTCAATAACTACCGAAATTATTAAATTTAGTAATTTCGTACACTACAACAAGATTAATAGCCCCAAATGACAATAGAATATATAAATTTTACAAATTTCATAGAGAAAAAAAACTTACCTAAATGGGTTGCCTCTGTCTTGCTACCGTTCAGTCCAACCATCCAACCTTCAATATGAAAAATGCCTCTTTCCTGTTCCGCCTCTTCCACCGGAATGAAAATTTCAACTGAATGCAAGAAGAATTGATGGTTTTTAGTTCTGCCGAATTGGGGGTGATGAGTTTTAAATTATGAGTCTAGCCATCACATTCGCATTCGCCAAATGCGAACATTTATCCAAATTGTCAGCAATTGCCACGTGTCGATAAGCTATTAACCAGTCAGATTTTAATAGGATAAAAAGATAATTTCGTTTTTTTTTTACCTATATTTTTCTGTTCGCATTCGTTGAATGCGAAAGTCTTATGATGGCCCACACTTTCCTCTTTTCTTTCTCTGTCCGCTTTAATTTATTCAGATTATTATCTTCGCATTCGGCATATGCGAAATTTAGGTGATGGCCCACTTTGAATTATCTCATTTGTTGATATTATTTGTTTAAGTTTAACTAATTAATTACGTAAGGTTGTTCGCATATGGTAAATGCGAATATCAGTTTCTTCGCATATCACAAATGCGAGAAACTCATAAATTTCTACCCCTCCAACCCTAAGAACACTTTTTTCTACCAACTAAAATTTAGGTACACTAAACTCACGGACCCCAAATTTTTTTTTTTACTTTATATTTCTATTTTGGATTAAGCAGCACTTAATTGATTATAAGAGGTAGAAATGAGTTTCATCAAACACACCAATATACAAACCTCTTATAATTGATTAAGTTTAATGATTAAGTGGTGTAATCAAACCGAACAAAGTAAAAAAGAGGAAAAAAAAAAAAGTGTTGAAATATACGAAGAACAAGGATTATTGAAATCTCTGTGTTCACGAGTCACGACAATGGGAAGTGCTACTATAAAATTTACGTGTTTCTAACACGTTTTGTTGCGTGATTATGAAATTTGGATTAACTTTTCCTCTTTGGAACAATCTATAAGTTATCATGGAAATGTTTCTAAAGAGACATGCACAACCACTCATGTAACTAATGCCTTCTATAATACCTCAACTGTAGAAATGGGTATGTCATCCATGTGTGGTAAGGTTGTGATCTCTTTGAGGTTAAGGGATCAAATCCCGTCTGGGTGGGTTGTACTTCAGGTTATCAGGGGCTTATCACTAATAATCAAAATACAAAAAAATCTTGGATAAGTTAAAATCACAGTCAGCTGTTAAGACACAACAGAAAAGATCACAAAGAAGAGTTCATAAGAATGACCACAATCAGCTGTAAGTACCCAGTTCTCAACAAGAAGCCATCCTCAACTAGTTAAGTTCATAAACTGATCACTATGTATGCGTCATAGTTGGGGCATAAATATAATTTATATGGAAATAATAAAAAGCAAAGTGTGATCCAAGGGTAATTCATCCGAAACACAAACAACATAATACAAAGAGGCAGAACATTAGCAGATATTATCAAACAGCAAGAGCAGCAAACTATGCATTGCCGAAAGAAAGCTATCTAGCCAGCAAAAAGACCACACTATACAATCCTCTGGACTTCAGATCAAAGGATTTCGTTCAGAATGGTCATATGAAAATAAGTCAAGTAAAACTACCCAACTCTGCTCTGAGATAGTATTACTTATGGACTAGACATCAAACACTCTTACTTTCATAAAAGACCAAATTTCACAAAATTCCAAATCTGAATTAATGAAAGCGTTTCTGGTCACAAGTTCAGGATCAAATACAGTGTTTCGAAACCAGACATGTCAAAGGGGCAGAAAATAATATGTTTGTTTCGTTTTTTTTGTGTGTTTTTTAAGTGTTTTTTGTATTGAGAATGTAAAAAGATGTGTTGGAAATGTAAATAGGTATGCTGGGATGGGACAGTTATTAATAAAATAAATTGAAAAAACCATAAAAAAAATCAAACAAACAGGATAAATTCACAAACACTAAAGGGGCGGGGCGAAAAAAAAAATAATACTAAAGAGACGGAGGCATTAGTTAAAAATAAAAACCATGGACAATAATTTCGGGAATAAAACAAAAGAATTAATTAGTCCAATGACCACCAACCTTGGGTAGGGAGCAGCTGCCAGTGGATTAAATTCATCATCTTTTGCAAGGGGTCGTGCAGAACCAGAGCGCGATAAACATTTAGGTCGCCTTTTTCATATCATCGGATCAAAATTATATCGTCAATTCGGATGGACAACGGTTTCGTTCAGGAAAATATTGAAATTAGGTCAGACAAATTGGGAAAGGAGAGATTCAACGCACCGTTTTGATCGGAAGGCTTAAGTAATTTAGTTGCGAAGGGAGCCAAAACATGGGCATGGAATTGGAGGGGCAGGCATCATTATCATCATCATTTTTGTAAAAACGAATTCGGAATCATTGGTGCTGTCTTTAGAAGTAACAGATCCATCTTTTCCCATGATTTCCCAAGTTTGTCGGTTCCCCTTATAAATCACTCGTGCCGCCGACACTACTATTTGCCGCCCGCTCCGTCAATGAAGATTATGGATGATGAAGAATTCGAAACCGAGGTTTATGCTGTGGACGATCTTAAAGTAGCCTTACCCAATGCTCAGTTTGCCGTAATGATGCACAACGAACCCAGGTTTTTTTTTCCCCTTTTAATTTCTTCCTCAAACTTTGTGAAGTTTTACTTTCTAGGTTTACGGGATTATACAACTACAGTAATAGGGATAGGATTACTTAACTTAAGCCTGTGAGTGTTTGATTGTGTAAGGATCGGAATGTCCGGTTTGTAAGGGTGGTCAGAGCAAGCGCCTTAAACGTTGCCGGGAGTGAGTATTACCTTACATTGGAGGCAATTGACGAGAATGGTAACCTCAATTTTTACTATGCGGAAGTGCACACTTTTATCAAGATGAAGCAGTTGTTGGATTGGAAGCTGGTCGATGAGTCCTTCTCTTACCCTTATTTCGAAATTAGGTTGGTAGTGGTCATCTAATAAACCCCTTTATTGTTTTTTTTCTGTTCTAAATTCCACAAAGTTCCCACAGACGCATGCTAGTTGTGGGTTCTAAAATTCTAGTCATTTCTTTTACTGCATCTATTACCATTTTCTGATGCTCTTTTTCCCAACAGCATGCTGTGTGCCTGCTCTATGTTTCTCATAAATTAAGAGGCTTGGGATAGTGATTATAAAGAAATTGTATGGCCGAAAAAAACATATGTAGTGCATTGATGATCATGTGTATTTAAACAACATATATGATGACAAAAGAGGAAACCGAAAACCCTAACCGTAACCCTAGCCGTAAATATATAAGTTTTACAAATTACTGTTTACTCCCCCTCAAGTTAGAGCATGTAAATTTGTAATGCTCAACTTGCTTAACAAAGTATGAAATTGATCACGGCCCAAGGCTTTGGTAAAGAAATCAGCTACCTGCGACGATAAAGAAATGGATCGAGGCATAAGTAATTTAGACTGAAAATAATGTCGGACAAAATGACAGTTTATTTCAATATGTTTTGTGCGCTCGTGAAAGACTGGATTAGCTGCAATATGGAGCGCTGCCTGATTGTCACTAAACAAAGGAACAGGGTGGCGTAAGGGTACTTGTAACTCAGTTAGGAGCCAAACCAGCCAAACCACTTCACTTGTGGCGACAGCCATAGCCCGATACTCTCCCTCTGCAGTAGAGCAGGAAACCACTGACTGCTTTTTCGATCGCCAAGAAACAGGTGAAGGTCCCAAAAATATGAGATATCCAGTAGTAGATCGACGTGTAGTAGGAGAACCTACCCAATCAGCATCACAATAAGCACGTAGTTGCAAAGAATTATTAGATAGTAGGAATATACCCTGTCCCGGCGTAGCTTTCAAATAATGCAAAACTCGCATTGCTGCATCAAAATGAGGCCTGCGTGGCCGATGTATAAACTGACTAAGAACATGAACGGCATAAGTGATATCAGGACGGGTGATAGTCAGATAGAGGAGATGTCTTACAATGCGGCGGTAGCGCCCAGGATCATCATATAACTCTCCTGAATCAAGATCAAGGCCATGTTGTTGTTCTATCAGTGTAGAACAAGGACGACATGCCGTAAGTCCACACTCAGTCAAAATGTCCAAC